TCACATGCAATGCTCTTTGTTGGTTGTTTTGTAAGATGTTTCTTGTTGTACCTTGTTTTTTTTTTTTCTATCGTGGACTTGATGTACGCTATTGTTCTTCTTGCTTTTTGTTCTTCCCTTTTGTGTTTCTTTCCTTTCTTAGTTATTAATGTTGTTGAAATAATTTCCATTTTCGTTCTTATCAACAAAAATGATATATTGTCGATTTTCTTCTCTCTGATAAGTTTAATGTAAAAATTTATTATATGGATGGAGGTGCACCTTACCTTAGTGCATCCAGTATCATGAGAGAAGTGGTGCTTAATGCTTCAATCCAATAGCTAAACCTAGGAGAATAAAGCTTTGATGCGACTAGGAAGAAATTTGATCGAATTGACCAGCTAATATGGTATTAATAACAAATTTTGGACTTTTAGGACCAAATTTATTGGTTGCAAAAAGGAGTTTTTTCTTGTAGTATACCTTCTAATTCTAGAAATCATATGATCTAAGAAAATAGTCCAAGTCTATGTTCATAACAGTCCTTCGTTAGTGGATATATACTAATTAAGGATAACACATGCTTTCTAGATTTACTAGTTGTGTTTGAAACGACTTTCTTCAAAAAAAAAAAAGTATTTTATTTAAAATGATGACATAACTCATTCAATTGGATAAATAATAGAATACCGTACTAGCTTGGCATATTCTGTAAATTAAAAGAGAGTTAACCATTATAGTGAGGCTCTCTGATCGTTTAATGTGTCGGGAATATTTGTGTAAGTTAAAGTAGAGTTTGTAACCCTTTGAGCAAAATCAAAGTGAAGGTTGAAGAAGGAGATGGTCCGCCGATTCCTTAGTTCTGGTACAAAGAAAAGAATGCATATCTAGTAGCGAACAGTCAAAACACTACCGGCGACGGTCATGGAGCTTTCGGATTCCAGATCTACCGCCAGTCCTCCATAGTAGCCGCCGCCATTCATGAGGAGTTCGCACTGCATGCATAGACAATTCTCCCGTTCCCAGATCTGGTGGGTCTCGATCTCCAGCGAGAATGGCGGCGGCTCTCAGTCTCCGACGGGATTGCAAGAAAACTCCACCCATTTAGCCATTCCAACTTGGCGGCGCAGTGGATCGGTTCTCATCGGTAACCTTCCCTAGCACAGTTTGGGGGCCATCGATCGGTAAACTAATTTATATTTGTTTTATTACTACTCGAGTTACGTTGTTGAGAGATACCATGATAATGCACCCACCATATCACCCTTGTGCATGTGGATCACTTTAATGCTCGAAAGCTCTCCCAGACGTGAGTTTGAAGTGCACACAAAATATGTCACACCTATAGCTTTATATATATGCTCAAAGATAGATATATTATTCTTCATATGGTCTGATATGAATTTCATATAACTTTCTTAAATTGGACTTCAAAGATGATGCGGATTTATCATGAATAAAAGTTTAGATAAAATTATTTTTGATTCGTTATCACTTTTAAATCCACAAATTTTTAGGCAAAACAAAAACACCCACAATTAATATATATGAAGTTCTAAAGGAAGAGGTGAGACAGATGGTAACATATGAAGCAAAAACTGGAAATGATGATGAGGCAACGATTGCCAACAAGCTGCGTGCGTGTGATAGATTAGATGCAGTCCAACAATTAGGCCTTGGATATCATAGAGGAAATTGATCAAACATACCACGTTGGAGGAGACAATCTAGCTATGAGAGTTACTGGGCAATATCTTTTCAAAAGTTAGAAATCTCGTTCTAATAGAAATTTTAACTATTTAGTTTCTTTCTCCAATCTTGTTCTAAGATTCCTTATACTCTCTACCATGAGTCAAAAATAGTAGCGATGGGTGTAAACAGACTAGCAAGCGTCAGAGGGGTCGAAACCCTGTAGAAATCATATATGAACGATTTTTGGGTGTAATATCTTAACATTCATCATAAATTTAATGTTTGTAATTTAAAAAACTTTTAAAACACGATCACATTATGAAACTGGAAACAGACACAATATTATTTTTTCACATTTAACCTTACCTTAAATGAATTTCAGGTTAAATGAATTTCTGGCTGCGATTTCACTTATTGTCAAGACTTTGATAAAATAAACATGCGTATTCAATGAGTTTTGGTTGATACAGGTAGGCTTTCCCCATACGGGCTGAATCTGAAAATTTAGTCTGTATTTTCATCCGTCTTGGGCCTGCCTCTTTCCCCAATCTCTTGAACCACTTTCAGGCCCACTGCTGGCTGCCTACGGCCTACCTGAGAAAGGAGACGCAGCAAATTAAAGGCCAGCCAACTGCAGCAAAGTCTAATTAGTAATTACTGATGACGAGTGTGGCTAAATTAAAGAAGTTTTGACCAAGCTCCACCAGCCAGAGAGATCACGTTTAGTATACTTACTGATGATGTACCTTGCTTAGCTACTGGCTTGTCAATCCCCCATAATTCTTAATATTCACAGTTAATTGAAAATTAAAGTATGATGAGTATAAACTTCAAATTCATGAGTTATCTTTCATTTTGAAGATATCGAAGAAGAAAGAAAAGAAGATGATAGGATAAATTGCCACATCAGACCATCACTTCTCATATTTCTGTCATTTTGCTTTCTAATGAGTGTCAATTTTGCCTGCAAACATCCCACGATTATAGATGGACACTTTATATATGGGAATAGGGCTTTCCCATCAACATGATTAGTTTTGACTAATGAAGTGAACTCATATGATTACCCATTAATCTGTTCCTTTCCCTTCATCATCGATTTGCAATTAACCCATTTCTTGTTCCCTCCCATGTTATCTCTAGGGGGAATTTGGGGCCAGGTCTTGTTATTATTATATAATAATTAGTACTCAACTAAAACTTTTGTGACTGATAAAAGTAAGCATAGTTTTACTTACATAATTTAGTCATGGAGTCAAAATGGATTATGAAATCTTATCCACTAATGAGACTAACTATTCAAAGTATAACTAAAACAGTAGAGTAACAAGATTATAAATAATAGCATTTCAATTTAATTTATATACATATTTTAATCACTATATATAATAGATTCATACAGTACGATATGAACCACCTATGATGGGTACGTGTTCTTGGTCTTAGGGAAGATCCTAGAAGGAATTGGAGGGCACGTGCATGGCATTACGAAAAAGTGGTGGTTATCGATTCAGAGATTCATAGGGATTGGAAAACATGGAAGCTCTTTACCTTTCTTTTTACCCGCGGTAAAAATTCAACTCCCTTCACATTCAGAGCACAAACGGGTTACTTACCAGCCTTGAGTTGTGATGAACAGGTTGGCTTGTTTGTGTGGCACTGGCAATTTAGGAAAAAATCCCACTGTACACACGTTATTAAAAAAAATTCCCAAAATACATAAGTTATAAAAAAAATTCCCAAAGTACACATGTTTGACATTCACCGTTTTTGACAAACGCAGTGAAGGTATTCACCGCGTTTGATAAAAACGGTGAACATTTCACCGTTTTAAATAAAAACGGTGATGCCTTCACCGCGTTTAATGAAAACGGTGAAGTCTTCACCGTTTTAAACAGAAACGGTGAAGACTTCACCGTTTTTATTAAACGCGGTGAAGGAGCTGACGTGGACAAACGCGGGGTATTCACCGCGTTAGACAAACACGGTGAATACCCCGTGTTTGTTTACGTCAGCAATCCGGGCCAATTTGCTATCACCGTGGCCGTTGGATGCGGTGAGGCGCGGATCGTGGTTTTCTTCCCACGATCTGACGCCTCACAACACGCCACGTCCCCTGGGCTTTCACCGCGTTTGTTGACAACGGTGAGTTCACCGCGTTTGACTAACGCGGTGAAAGCCCTCCAATTAAATGCTGCGCAGGCTCCTCCCCCCTTCCCCTCACTATATATACCCCCTTCCCCTTTCACTTTCAACTCACCCCACAAACAATTCACTTCTTTCTCCCTCAATTTATCCGCTCTAGTCTCGTTCTAAGTATGCTCTGTGGTTGCGGCTAAGTCCGATCTTCCACATCAGAAAGAATTACTAGAGTTTGACCCTAAAGCCCCCGTCCCTTACAAACCTAAAATCGTCGAACCTCTGTCCGGCCTACGCCAAAAAATGGACGAAGAGGCTCTTCGTGTAGGTTTTTGGTTTATGAATTTTTTTAATCGAAACAATTTGATTTTTTGTTTTTTTATCAAAACAATCTCTGATTTCATTACTTTTTTATAGATGGGTGCCGAGATATACGATCCTCGATTGTATATCCATTATGGCCCAAGGGATGCGAGTCTCTTAACCGATCAAGAAGCTCATCGCTCCCGTGCTATTTGGGATAACTATCCGGTAATTTTTTGAGTATTCTTGCTTTATTTTATTATTTTCTAAGGTTTTATTTTGCTTTATTTAATCTAATAAATTGTTATTTTTCATATTTGTTTTAGGAATCGCTTGTTCCCGTGGTTCATAAAGGGACCAATAACTTGCCCGCTTGGCATCCAAGGTTGGAGCCCTACATAGCGAGGACCGGTTTGGGAATGTTGCGCCATTTCTTGCGGATCGAGATCGACAACGATCTGCTTACGGCAATGGCGGAACGATGGCGTCCCGAAACCCATACATTCCACCTTCCGGAGGGGGAAATGACGATCACCCTCAAAGACGTGGCGATCCTCACCGGGCTTCCTATTTCTGGAGATGCAGTCATTGGTTCCACGACCAAACCCGAAGGAGGTTGGGGGCCGCTCATACATGATCGTTTGGGCTTCGACATGCCGACCACCACACCAATTCAAGGACGGGGGCATCCACCGTTGAATGCGGGGCAAGTGTCGGTCCCGTGGCTGGTATCTCACATCCAGCAAGAGGTGGAAATCAATGACGAGACACCGGAAGAACAAGTCGAGCGCTACGCCCGCATCTACCTCATCGGTTTGGTGGGTGGATTTTTGTTCCCCGACAAGTCCAACCGGTGGATTCAAGGCATATGGTTGCCATTGCTCACTGGTGACTGGGATGCAATTGGAGAGAAGAGTTGGGGATCGGCCGTGCTAGCGGGCGTATACCGGGAGCTGTGTACTTGCTCGAAGGTTGGGGCAAAGCAAGCTGGTGCTGCGATGTTCATCCTGCAACTGTGGGTATGGGAGCATCTACCGATGTTCGCACCTGCCGACCCACGTCCATACCGGAGAAACGATGATGAACTCAACTTTCTGCAAAATCTCCCCTACGGTGTCAAGTAAGTTTATTTCGTACTGAGCCCAATTTAATTTTGATTGTGTACTTAGCTAGATTTAAATTGAATTTATTCTGTATATAGCCCAATTTAATTTTGATTGCATGCTTAACTAGATTTAAATTGAATTTATTCCGTACTTAGCCCAATTTAATTTTGATTGCATGCTTAGCTAGATTTTAATTTTATTTATTACGTACTTAGACCAATTTAATTTATTATATGCTTAGCTATATTTCAACTAAATTGAATCCGTACTTTTATTTACAAGGTGGATAGGAGCAAATACGAATGACCATCAACCTGAGCATTCGTTATTGTTTTATCGTTCTGAGTTAGATAAACCATGGTGGAATCAGGTAATCATATTTTGTCCATATTTGAACAAGTTAAATTTTTTCAATGTAAATGGTCATTAATTCCGAATTTTTTAATGAATATAGGTTATATGGGATCCATATCCACGTGAAGTGGGTGAGCTGCATCATCTTAGGCACCCTCTGGATCACGAGACGTGGTTGTGCAAAGTGCCATTGATCTGCTGGCACATGGTGGAATGGCACCTACCCGATCGATCTTTGAGGCAATATCGAATGGAGCAACCCATTCCACAAGACCCGCCAGCCGGTTTCAGGGAGCTACATGCTATTGACCTCCGACACACTGCAAAGAACTGGGTGCTAAAGCATGGATTCTACATCAACATATGGGAGAATCGGTCCCAATGGGTGGTGCAAGGGATGCCGGAGACGAGACCGATGGGCTACCACGATGGATACATGCAGTGGTATCGGAAGTTCACCATGAGATGGGTGTCAAAGCAAGGTGTTGTGATGGGGTCTTTGGTAAGTCATCCTAATCTCCCTCATTCAAAAATCTATTTATTTTAAGGTTTAGTTAATTTGATAAGATAAGTGCTTTCCTTAGGTTGATGGTTTGGAACATGCCAAGTACACCCTCGAGAGTGCTCCAACCATGGATGAGCGGAAGACTAATTGGTTGACCCGACTTATGAACAACCTCCTGAGTTGTACAAGAGAGCAAAGGAGGGATGTCGTGGCATATCCTCCCGTTCCTGCCCCGGCACGACCCTCATTCCGTGATGATGCACCCATTGTGCCCCCGGTTGAGCCCCCACGAAGGAGCAAACGCAGGCCTCTACCTACATTCGATGAGGTGCGTACAACTCAAGAAACCGAGATCCCTGAACCGTTCGAGTACCAGTGGGCACCTACAGCGGAAGCCGGTGGAGGGTCATCGAGTCGTGGAGCATCTCAGGAGTGGGACACTTTCTCTCATGGGTTCTCTCAATTCCAACATCAGCAACAGAGTTCGATGTATCAGACCCCGCAACAACAAACTCCGCAACCTCCGATCATTCGCCAAGCTACCGCTCCATATCAGCCACCACCACCACCATATGTAACCCCAGTTGGGGCTCGGGTCAAGAGAAATCCGCGACAAGCCGTTGAGCGAGCCCGCCAAGAAGCAGCGGCGGAAGGGGGAAGAAGGGGTTGAGGACGTCGTGGAGGACGAGGAGGAAGAGGTGGAGATGGGGGCCAAAATGAAGCAAATGAGTGAATTTATCGTTTTATCATTGTAGTGAACTATCCATGTTGTTTTTTTGCTTTTTAGGTGTTATTTGAGTTTGCATTGTCTAAAAACTATCCTACGCACTTAAGTTATCGAATGAATTTTCTGTATCATTTTATCAAGAATCAGTTTCTTCCCTCAACACGAAAAAGTTGGGAAAATCAACCACGATCGCATAGAATTTTACAGATCCCAATTCCGATTCCAAACGAGTGAGATAAGTGACGTCAAAGCGCGATCGTAACGTTAAAGTAACTTTTGCGTACTAAAAACTAAAACGCGCGTATCTTATTCGTTTGTGGTCGAAATAACGAGCCGTTTGCGGTAGCGCGATCGTATCGACAAGGACAACATTTTAGAAACAACAAAATACTTAGAATTCAGATGCAAACGGTAATGAAAAATTAAACAAGCGATCAATTTAGTAGCAGAATACAAGTAAATGCAAATTAAGTTGGTTGTCCTGGGCAACGCCTCTTGTCGTGACCAGGTTGTCTGCACTTAGAGCATCGCTTCGGACCCCTTCTCGTCCGTTCAACTTGATCCATCTCATTGTGTATCCTTTCAACTCTAGGACGACCTTTGGTGCGTTTTAGGTGCAACGGTGGGATAATCAACTTTCCAGCGTATATAGGCCAATACGCTTCATCTGGCATGGGGCTCAAAGCTGCATTATATGAGTTCCGTATCGCTTGCTCAGTGTAGTAAGGACTCACCAGGCTGTTTCTGTTCATGGTTATTGACTTAGCAACCGCCATTGCATGTGAACAGGGTA